ATATATATATATATATATATATTATTTTTTTTTACACTTATTAACTTTAATTTATTTTATTTCCAGCCAGCAGGGGGACTACCTGTCATTACAGGCAGTCCCCCTGCTGGCAATGCAGCAGGCAGCTAACCCTGCCATGTGATTGTGAGGTCCTCGCAAGGACCTCACTCTCACATGGCCGGGGGGGGCTGCAGGAGGTCGGATGTTCCGCGGGGGGCTCCCTGGGAGTCCCCCCAACCGGGATCGCCCGCGTGGGATCGCCGGCGACCGGGTAAGTAAAAAAAAAAACGGAGGGCGTACTATTACGCCCGGTGGCGTTTAGAGCCGCCTAAAATAGAGCGTAATAGTACACCCTCCGGTCTTAAAGGACCACTATAGTGCCAGGAAAACAAACTCGTTTTCCTGGCACTATAGTGCCCTGAGGGTGCCCCCACCCTCAGGGTCCCCCTCCCGCCCGGCTCTGGAAGGGGGAAAGGAGGTAAAACTTACCTTTTTCCAGCGCTGGGCGGAGAGCTCTTCTCCTCCCCGTCGGCTGAATGCGCACGCGCGGCAAAAGCTGCGCGCGCATTCAGCCGGTCACATAGGAACGCATTCATAATGCTTTGTTATGGACGCTGGCGTGCTCTCACTGTGAAAATCACAGTGAGAAGCACGCAAGCGCCTTTAGCGGCTGTCAATGAGACAGCCGCTAGAGGAAATAGGGGAAGGTTTAACCCATTCATAAACATAGCAGTTTCTCTGAAACTGCTATGTTTATGAAAAAATGGGTTAACCCTAGCTGGACCTGGCACCCAAACCACTTCATTAAACTGAAGTGGTCTGGGTGCCTAGAGTGGTCCTTTAAGGGTTTAAAATAAACACTAGTAATGAATAAAGTACACAGGGTTATCCAAGAATTGTGAATTGTTGGTAATTAAAGGAACACTATAGTATTAGGAATTCGATCATGTACTGCTAACGCTATAGTTTTTATTTTACTGTATTAATGTTCCCCTTGCCGTGTGAGCGTTGGAAGGGTAAGTTTAAATTACCTTCCAGTTCTCGTTGCGTCAGTCTCTGTGGGGGAAGCTCCACCTCTTTGGTTGAGATTATCAATGATCTCAGCCAATCCAATGGTTTCCCATAGACATCTCTATTTCCCACTATGGGTATTTTGTTGCATTCACCTTTAGTGACTGTAAGAGTGATAGGAACAAGGGGCATTTAAACCCTGCTATGTACACGCTGCCATTCCTGTAGAACAACAATGTTTTCGCTTGCTGGGTTAGAACTAGAGGGTCATGGCCCCCAGACCACTTCACTGAGATTAAGGGTGTCTATAGAGTCCCTTTAATTAGGGTATTTCATATTTTAGAGCAACATATCCTACCTGGGAAATAGCCGTCTTGGAGAATGTCTGTTTTGGCCTAAAATTTGACAAAGACTGTTCACATCCTGGAAATTCACAATTTGGTGATTAACCCTGATAAATATTTCACCTTCAACATGTTTTCAGGGAGCTATCACTGCTCTGGTTGCTTTACAATAAGCTATTAGGAGTATGTCATGCAGATATTGGGATGGGCAGATAGGGTTAACACCTTGTTTTGGAAACATACACGGCCATGCTAATCTGCATAATTAGTGATAAACACATGACATCACAGGACATAATGTCATCTGGTGTTATGTAACATCTCCGGGAGTGTCATAAGAAACAAAAATAGGAAGAGGGAAAGTTACTAAATCAAGAATAAACTAATAGCAATGTGTGTACTATGTCTGACTGCACCTGTAGCATTGTGTACATGTAGAAGTGTGTATACTGTCTGATTGTGTGTATAGCAGTGTCTCATTGTGTGTGTATATTCTTATCTGAGTGTGTCTGTCATTGTGTGAACTTTGTCTAATTGTGCGTAGAACTGTGTGTCAGTGTGTCTACTGTGTCTGTGAGTACCATTGTTTGCACTGCCCTGTGTAAAATAAGTAGATATTATGGTTCTATTTCTCTCACCACTCCCAGATTTGGTCAGTGAAAAATACTGGTCATCAAATTGCTAGTATTTATGCACTACTTCACCGGACTGACAGCCTCAATACTTGCCACGTGGGAACCATAGCAGAGGAGGATGTATAGTTTCCTCATCTGGAGTCTGGAACTTAATGGGCAGGTTTATAGAAAGAAGGTAGTTTTGCACATTACAGTAGTTTTAAAAAAAATTCTGTGCAGGAAAATGGTATGTCTTGCACCTAACCCTATGTAATGATGGTAAACTCTTACACTTGGGAGAGTGGTTTTAAGAGCACACTTGTCAAGTAAGTCCAGGGAAAATCACAACACAGGATTAGCCAATTATATAAAATTAAAGGGACACAAGTTTTATAATGTGAGCCACTGTTATATCTAAAGATTAGCTTGTGGAATGCTGTTGGGGCACCACAAGCCTGTTTGTACACCTATGCACTGCAAAAATACAAAATAACAAAATTAAAGGGACAATCTAGGCTCTCTCTTCTCTGGCAATTTAAAATATTGGTGTTTCAGAGGAAATTTTACATCAGACATCAACAAGAGGCACTGTCTTCTCTACGAAAAGCAGTGACTGTGAGAACCATTGGGCTGGGCCAAGATCTGACTTCCATTTTTGGAGTCAAGAATTACATTTTTTGCTTTTTGTGGAATAATTGTGAATCAGTTGAAACTGTGGTTTCTAAACAGCAGAAAGAAATGGAAAAAAGCCAATAGAGGCGCTTCCTGCATGTTCTCCTGGGGGACGCCTAGCACCATATGGCATCATAACAACTTCATTTAGATTATTATGATGCCTATACTGTCCCTTTAAGAAATTTTGTTCCAACTCAAACTGACGCTTGTGAAGAAAATGTGAGATTTTCAAGACTTTATCTGAACATTTTGACATAATCGGACATGGCCTTTTCAAAACATGTCCTCTTAAGTAACACACCATCTTAAGTAACCTGACACTTCCCCTGCACATGGAAAGAGATGACTTCACTAGGAGGACCATGAGAACATTTACCAGCTGACGGTAGAGGTGAAGGATTCTGTGACTAGGACATTGACGTCACTATCATCTACGGACAATAATAGGACTTTCATTGATCTCAGCCTTATAGGATCCCATATCTTCACCCAAGGACATATAGTTCAATTACCGGTTGTGAATTAAATCCCTTTCATTTGTGTGCTTGCATGCTTTTTTCCAAGCGTAGCACTGGTCTTTGTTCCAACATCTTTATGTCCAAAATGAGGATCTGTCTGTGTGCCTGCATCTTCACGTCCAGTGTGTGATGGTATTCCTAAAGCATCTATGAATATCGAGCATTCTTCTGGGGTGCCACTTCTGTATCTTTTATCTTGAGGTCCAACCTCACATTCTTCTGTGGTGCCACTTTTTCCTTTCCCAGGGAATATGGTGGGTATAGCGTCATGGCTGAGGACGACTTTGCTGCCTTGGTAAATGTAGCAGTCACTTATGAAATGCTCTGAGCATAAGCAATGCTTTTCAATCTTTTTCCCTTCAAGGACCTCAATGGCAAATGTTTCGAGGTCTCCAAAGTCTTGTCTGGTCTGCAACAGCCACTGTTTTATTTTTTCAAGATTATTTGGGAATGCATGAAGGACAACAGTACGGCATTCGGGCTTCCTTCCAGTTTTATGAGGGCAATCTTTGACAATGCACTTAGGCATGTTCTGGCCCTAAAATTAAACATAAGAGAAGGCTTAGATTATTCTAAAATAATTAAGATTTTTTTTTATGATATGAGAGTTAAATCATTTAAAGAAATGTGTCAATGTTCCATCACCTTATTTAACTTCATCCTCTAGAGATTATACATTCTCACACCTTAAAGAACACTCAACCACCATAACCACTAAAGTATGTTTTTATGGTGCCAATAGTCCCATGGGTAATCTGAGTGTTTATGAACGGTTTAACACTTACCTGGCTCTGACAGCCATCCTTGGCCCTTCTAGTCTGCAAGCTATGCTAAAGCAGAACATGATACCTCTGCAGTAGCCTACCAGCATTGTTTATTGAATGAGAAAATCAGCTGGGAGGCTCACCCACTCATTATTTTTAAAATACTAATATGGATCTTTTCATTGTAGTTGTATATGTCTGGGTGTGCAGTTCCATACAGCTGCTTGCATGCAGAGCAAATGTGGGATGCCGACTATAACAAACCCCTTGTACTTCGTATAGTAAGTTCGTTTGCACTCTCACAAAATCCGTGAGAAATAAAGCGCTTTGTCGTTCGTATACCCAAACATCAGACAAGACTTGATAAAGGGTACAACAGGAATGTTTTATTATGGTCAGATGGCCCAATTTTATACACGGACCCCTAGTATGGGGTATCCAGCAGAAACATAGGTAAAACAAGCTCTGTGTCTGGGAGATAAATGAGTGTACTTTGCTTAAACTAATTATCTCCCAAGTACTAAAGGTACAGATAATAAAACATAAAGCACCCCAAAACATACACAATAGGCATGTGCATGGGCAGAAAATTCGGTTCGGCACTTCCAAAATTCAGGACTTCTGGAATTAAACTAACCCCTAACCCCAACCCTACAACGGTTAGGGTTAGGTTTGGGGTAGGAGTAGGGCTATACGGATCTGAGCGCCCAAAGTGTCCAATAGCGCTCAGATCCCACGAATACAGCCGAATCACCACCGGGGTAAAGTTTTGACTGACCACACACGTGGGGTCTACCCAAATTAGTTTCAGAAGAATAGTGGTAGCGGTCGGTCGGTTTTGCAAGTTCCTAATCGAACAAAATACCGAATGGTTCGCCTGGCTCATATGTAGCGATTGTTCATCTTGTTCAAGTGTACCTTTCCACTGAACAATGCTCTCCTGGCTTGTCAGGAACAGAGGCAGGCGGCAGTACAAATCCACTGGTGTTCGCGAGGTATAGTGTCCGGCTTGAAGTTCCAGACACTCGACGACCAAGTACCGCAGCCTGTTCTGGAGACAAGGTGGTGGACGTTTTCCAGCGCACGTGTCCTTCGCTTATACAAATGGCAGCCACCCAGAGAGAGCACTTAACCTTGTGGTTACTTTAAAGATAATGAGCCAGGGGGTGGTCTTCGTTCGGTAGACAAAAGTACCGAATAAAGGGAAATATAACTTGGGCTTAGGAGAATCATAGGGTTTCAGGGTAGTTTGTTACACTGACTATCATTGGGAAGGACAACTGGTGATCAATTCACTCTTCCATAACAAAAACCATTACTTTCTAATAAAGACATCACTGACCATCTCATGTTCACATGAATGATCCACAAACGTTCTATACAAAAAAGCTGCTTGGACATCTGAGTCACAAGAACGTTTTAGGCTTTGATGGGAAATGTTATGCTTAGAAATTACTGTTATTCTAACCATTGATCATGGTGAGGTGAGTGTGATGTTCTGGGGATGCTTTGCTGATTAAAAAACCTGGAAATCTTGCACGATATTATTTGGAGAACCTAGATAATGTCATCCCATCCATCTGTCAGCTGGACCAGCAAGACCTGAAAGGAGCTTTCCTTAGATGGATTCACTCTAATTCTACTTTAAGGCATTCTGAATGTAGAAACAGGTTATATTTTCAATCTTGGGTAGGCTTTTTACAGGGATATCTTACTTGAGGTCACCCCTGCTTAAAGTGCTACCACCTGGAACTGGCTCTAAAGGTTTAAAAAATGTGAATACTGCACATGGAATCAGTAACGAAGCACCTGGTGTGACTTTTCTTTGTTTAAGCAGGCCACTGTTATAGATTATGGCAATCTTCACTGAAGAGGCACAATGCAACATGTCTAAGTGCAGGTCCTCAATTTTATTCCTAACACATCAATTACTAAGAAGCAATAAACTATGCTCAATTCCATTGATAGAGCAGATAGAAACGACATACCCTTACTTTACTTTATACATAGCTACTTACGTCAAGTTCATGGTTAGTATCAAGGTTAATGTTCTTTTTAACGAATCCCAAAGGAGATAAACACCAAAAGACGAGAAAGATTTCAGATCTGATGGGTGTTTCCACCCCTCAGGTCTTCTATCTTTATGAGTGCAGCGCTGTGTAATGTGTGAAAACACAGTGAATTACCTGTGATTCAAAGGCAATTATCCTTTATATTCTCCAATGTAATACATATACAAAAGAAAACAGAAATATATACAGATAATTGTGCAGTATATCTATTACTTTAGTGAAGTATTTAGTGGGTAACATATATATCTCCACTCACATTTTTTAGAGCCTTTTCAAGTGAATTAGGCTCTAAACTTAGGTGCATCTGTGTCTTTAAGGGTAGACCACACGACCCCTCTCTCCAGGTTGAGTGTGTATTTTTTCTCTCCCCAGCGTATATATGAAAGACACAGAATTATCCAACTAAGTGTAGCATCCTCTATGATATTTTCTTATAAAAAACAAATTGAAGTGCTCACCTTATTTAGAGCCTTTTGGTAACTGGCTCTAAGTGTATAGGCCTAGTGTCAGTTTGTGGGGTGACACTGCCCCTTCCCTGGAATCACTGGTGCTGGATACAGTGGATAGTATAAAATAAGGGAATTTATTACAATATATAAAAACAGTATAAAAATATTTTTCTAGAAAATAAAAAATTGGATAAGAACAAATTATTGCAAGTATTGGTGGTTCAGGAAAAATAATGAGTCCACTTTAAAAGCCAAAACGCGTTTCGCCGGTAAAAACCAAAGGAGATACCTGAAATCACTCCAGTTTGCTATTATATAAACCTGCCATGCAAAAGTATTCACACCCTTAAATGAATACACATTTTGTTGCGTTACAGTCTGGATATAATATAACGTACATTTGTTTGGGACATTTTCCATTTGATTTATACACCATACTTAACACTTTAAGGGTGCAATTAGAGATCAACTATTATATTATTCATCAAGTGCTGATACCGATTGGTACCAATTTTGGGCCAATAACCGATAACTGGTACCGATATTCTTCACATCTCCCTGCTTTTTACCTGTGGCCAGGGAGGGGAACATTATACTCCTTGGTGATCCAGTGGCTTTGTGCAGACTGCCACAGGGCTTCACATTGAAGAGGGGCGAAAAGCTCTTTTCTTAAATTAGACTCAGCACCCTTCGTCAATCATCAGTAATAACATATTTGACAGCAATTACAGCTGTGAGTGTTCTGTGTTTCTGCCAATTTTTCATATTTAAAGTGTGTCCATTTATCTGCTAGAAATCTGTCAAGCTCTATCAGCTTGGATTGGACCAGTGTGTGGAAAGCGATTTTCAGGTCTTGCCAAAGATATTAATCGTACTGAACCCTGGGTTTTGACTAGGTCATCTAAAAACATTCAGGTTCTGCTTTTTCTTTTTTTTTTTTGATGTGCATGAGAGATATCAAGAGGACAAAAGACATTCGTAAATTATGCATGTCCGATATAGCTTAGGTATGTCTAGCAGTATGCACATTTTTTTTTTTCTTCAACGTTTAACAATTGTATACAAGGTTAACATGTTAGACATTCTGTAGACAAATATATAGGAGTCTTGAAACAAAGAGAAACATTGTCGTGTGTGTGATTCATGGAGTTTGAGTAGGTAACATGGGTCAGCTTATGTAATGGTGTTGGTTCCCAGTTTGGGTTGTGGTTTGTCAGTGTGGCCTGTGCGCATGAGTTGTTTCAGCGGTAGCTGATATGCGTGGTACCCCTAACCAACGGAGTTGCGGTGGGGGGGGAGGAGGGATGTGGCCCCATTGACTCTCTGGTGTTGTGTCCAGTGTGTTGGCTGGGGTGTGGTTTGCTCGTAGTCAGGATAGGGGTGTGAAAGCATAGAAAAAAAAAAAAAGTTAAATTATAGTAACTGTAAAGGTAATAGATAATTCTAGGAACTGCATTGCGTCCGAGTACGAGGTTTCCCTCGTGTATCAATGTCCTCTCCAGGTGGCTCGAGGCCAGAGCCTTCTAATGTGGGCTAGATTGTGTAGCCATAGGTGTCGGTGTGGGCTGTCACTGTACGGGTGGTGGTGTCCCTCTGGTGCGTGGGACAAAGGGGATGATGGTGGCCGGGTCTCTGGCACTCTCAGGAAGCGCACGATTATCGGTTGGAATGGGTAATTTTCTAATTTTCCCAGAAAAGAGGCTGCGTCGGCCATGGTGTGAAGGACATGCGTAGTTCCTTCTGTGGTGACCGTTAAAGAGTTGTCGGTTCCCCATCTGTATGGCAGTCCTGCCGTGCGTAGTTGGGAAGTTACCGGTGCTTAGGTTTTCCTCCATAGCAACGTTGCCTTAGTAAGGTCTTGGAAGAAGTTCAAGGTGTCATTTTCAAATGAAAGAGGGGTTTTGCCCTTCACAGCTGTCATGACATGTATTTTGTCTTGTACTGAGTGGAAGCGCAGGATGACATCCCAGTTCAGGTTGGTATTAGTGTTGGTTGTATTAGGGATGCGATATAGACTGTCCACTGTGATTTTGCGGGCTAGCGTGGGAGGTAATATAGATGTCAAGAGGCGTCGGGTGTAGTGGGGAAGTTTCTCCGCGGATATTGCCGTAGGGATACCCCTTATTTTGATGTTTGCGCGGCGTTGTCTATCCTCTAGTACTATGAGTTTTGCGTTCAGGGTAGTCTGGTGCGCTTGTAATTGGTGGATAGAGTCCTGCATGGTTTGCATGGCAGATTGTGTGTCTGCTATAACGCTCTCTGTGGCCTTGACTCTCTCTGTTACTGTAACGAGAATATACCCCAACACGCAGGATTCAGCTAAACAGAAGACAACACAGAGGAGAGATACGTCTACCGGACCTTAGAATGGCCGGACTCGACGTATATGAGAGGAGACAGAGTCAGGAACGATCCGAAATCAAGGGCACAGAGAGACAGCGTAAACTAGGACAAGCCGGGGTCTGGTACACAGTAAACAGCAAGCCGACAACCAGAACAGAAGGATAAAGAGAAAACGTAGTCAGAAACAAAGCCAAGGTCAATACGGAGAAACACAACTGAACACAACAAGCGCTAAAGGGAACTGATACAGAAACCATGATAGGGCAGGGAGTAAAGGGAGAGGTAAGTTTAAATAGCTCCAAAACTAATGTGATTGGCTCCTGTCATATCCACACCCCCAAAAGGTAAGTGTATGGGGAGTGTGGTATGACAGGGGCCAATGGGAGCCTTTTGACAATTTAGGCTCCCACTGTCTCTTTAAGAGCGCGCCCGAGACTCGCGGCGCGCTCTTAGATTCAGGCGGGACACGTGACCGCTTCTCGCGGTCACTGCCCGCCTTGCTAGTGGAGCCGTCGGATGAGCCGCTCGCGGCTCGTGCAGCAGCAGGACCGCGCGCGGCTTGAAGAGAGGACCGCGGCCGGCCCCTGGAGAAGGTGAGTAACGCTACAGTTACGGCCTGTAGCTGTGTTGTAAATACAGCTAAATCTGCAGCCAGGAGCTTGTGGATATCAGCTAATAGGACCTTCAGGTCTCCCCTAGTTGTTGGGGCTGATTCATCCATAGGGTCCGCTTGTGCGGGTCTTACCTCCAGGGGGTGTTGTGGTACCTCCATCTCGTGGCGGTCCAGTTCTGGTTCTGTTTCCGGTTGGTCTCCGGCCTGAGTTTGTTTGGGCTTCTGGAGCATCGCCCCAATGTCCCTGGTATCCAACCCTGTGGCGGGTCTCTGTGATTTACGGCCCATGGTGAGTGTGTTGGGCGATGTTTGTGATGGGGTCGCCCTCGGCTGTTCCGCGAGGTCTCCGCCGAAGAGTGATGCGAGGCTGGGGATTTGGAGAGGGTGATAGGCCTCGGTTTTCCGTCGCTGCTTAGGCTGTTTTTGCGGCTGTAAGAAGGGCATCTACGCTTTCAGCTCGGGCAGCAGAGTCCGATTTCGTGCTTTTTAAGGCTGGATGGGCTCGTGTTCCGATGATATCGGGCAGATTTCAGGTTTGTTTGGAGGAGCTCCAGCAAATGGCGTCTGTCTCGGTCTGCGTGCTAGCCCCGCCCCCACACTGGGTTCCCCAGTGACTGCACAGCATCCGATCTCCTTCCTCCCTCCACTTCAATTGAATCCAGGTTCTGCTTTTTAACCCAATGCAGATTAGCTTTGGCAATATAGATAGGGTCAGTGTCCAGCTATGATATGAACCGTACATAGAGCTCCATCCACTGTGCTTTCAAACATCACCACTTCCTTACAATGAAAAGCATCCATATAGCATTATGCTGCCGCCACCACTGTGAAGAAAGTGCCCACAAGGTGCTCAGCATTGTTTAGATTTGTTTCACATGAAATAATGTTCTGATCTCATCAGAGCTGATAAAGTTTTTCACTTTTCCAAAGGCTCTCCCATCATGCAGCAATCCATAGGAGTTTGATAGAAACTGGTTCTGCCATTGCTTTATTTTTACCACTCCGACCATCTTAGCTGTGGATCTGCGCATTAATCTCAGATTTAGCAGAGAGCGTCCATGCTGCTTCTCTGATTAATAGAAAAATAAATAAAAAGTCCAGGCGTATATATTGAGAAAATTACTTTCAGCTAAACCAAAACAATTCACTTTAACTCATTACTTGAAATACGTGGTAATAGGTATCAGAGTGGAAGTGATTAATGGGCTTCTTACCCAGTTGCCGATTTTTGGTGGACGGCCTTCTCTACGCAGATTCTCAGTTGTGCCGTACACTTTCCATTTTTTAATAATAGAATGAACGGTACTCCGGGGGATGTTCACAGTTCGGGATATTTTTTTATAACTCAACCCTGATTGATACTTCTGCATTACTAAATCCCGATCTTGTTTAGATAGCTCCTTGTTCTTCATGATGCTGTTGGTTTAGATATGCTCTCTAAAAATAAAATGAAAGATTGCACTAAAAACGTGGTCAATCCGAAATATATAAAGTGAATATTACATAATATTTAACAATTAGAAAAATTCATAAAAATGTCTACTTTAAAGGAACACTATAGGGTCAGGGACACAAACATGTATTTCTGACCCTATAGTGTTAAACCCATTTACGTGGCTTGCCCCCCACTTAGCCCCCTAAAAGCAAATAAAACTCACCTTATTTTCAGCGCCACGCGGGTTTGCCGGCACTGGTCCCCCCCCTTAATGACATCATCAGAATTGCTGTTTTTTAGTCAATCCAATGCTTTCCCCAGGGCCGAATGCCGTTTTGGCCAATCAGCACCTCCTCGTACAGATGCATTGAATCAATGCATCTCTATGAGGAAAATTCAGCATCCCCATGCAGTGCGTGGATACGCTGAATGGCAGTGCTGCCTACTGTGCAGCACTGCCCCAGGAAGCAACTCCATTAGCAATCTGAGGAGTGGCCACTTGGAGGTGTCCCTAGGGGCAATGTAAATACGTTAAAATGCCTTAAGGAAATGATTATACTCACCAGAACAACTACATTAAACCCTTTAATGATACTTTATCAATATGGATTATTTTGTGTAGACGAGTTATAACAATTTCTATTTAAATGTGATTGAAATGTTTAAATATGGAAAGGCAAAAGGATTCCTATTTGTAAAGTCATTAGCAACGTTTTCAATTTTACATATTTTCTATCAAATAACTATAGGGAAGTGAAGGATTAAAAAATACAAATGACAGTGCTGTGAAAACGTATTTTTCCCCGGTCTGATTTTCTGCAGTACTGCACATTCTTTATACTGAATGTTCTCTGATTGTTCTTACTTACATACAAATGAGTCTGAATGAATAAGTAAAACAATATGTTAATAAGTAGCAATCAAAAGTATTCAAACACGTCTGAGAATCAGGTCTATTTTCATAATTTACAGTCTTTCATCTGTTTGCAATGAACACAAAAAAAAGCAATTGAAATAGCTCAACACAACGAATGTTTCAAGTTGTTTCCCCAAATTCGAATGAAAATGCAAATTATAATGACTTCTTAAACAGCTGGAAGTCTGTAAATGCTGACAATAAACCTGATTTTCAATGGGAATTGAATAATTTTGATTAAAACTGTATGCCATTTATATATCAGAGAATGTTATGTAGCTCCCAATCCTCCTCATGAAAAAATAATTACGTTCTATAACTAGTAACACAAAGAAATTAAGGAAAAGGGCTATGCCAATAGTTAAAATGTACAATAGTTCGTCTGAATAGGTAGGGCTATATAACGTAGCTGGTCTCACTGATATGGTGGGACTACAGTTCTGATGGAGTAACTGAAGGTAAAGTCCGATAATACGGAGGTCTCACTCAGAAGTAAGCATCTTTATAAGGTGTCTGTTTTTGGGTGTAGAGTCCTCAATGTCCCTAGTGGTCCAACCGTTTTGTTTACATGGAAGACAAAAAAGAGGAGACCCAATGGTGCAGTATATAAAAGCTAATATGGGTAAAATAAACAAATATGTGCAATCAACTCACATTTAAAAGAGCTATAGCCAGCTCTGGTGTGAAAGGCGTACAGCGCTATAATCCCCGCTTTAAAGGATATGTGATGGGAATCCTCTAGAGTGATGGTATCCAACACTCAGGAGAGGGATATGTAAAAGACAGCCAATAGTGCTTGTGAAGAAATGACTCCGTTAATCAGGATTTCTACCTTTTGTTGTACAGTTAATTCACCAAAACCCAGCTGGAATTCGGCATATAGCTTTCATTTCTACCCTTCGGATGGATTCAGGCGAATTCCCTGTGTAAAATATAGATGGCCGCCATTTCGGCACTTTACACGTGGCCGCGGCCATTTTACGTGCGAACAGCGGTGTTTGCCCGTCAACGCGTGGAACTAAAATCGGATACGCAAACAGGCGAACACCGCTGAGACCTCCATACATCCAGAACTTCGCACGGGAACGACCGAATCACCGGCCGTTCGGTAGTTACATGCAACTTCGTATGGGGATTTCAACGATCACAAAGATGCGAATGGATGGCAGGGTTTTCGTCTCTTTTATTCGCCTAAACGGAGACCGACCGCAGGGCCAAAACTTATGGAACTATTTTCGGCTAGATGGTCCGTGCGGTCGGTCAAAACTTTAGTGTTCCATAACTCCCGAACCATTCATCCGAATGGACTGATTTTTTGATATGTTGTCCCCACAAATGAGAACTATCCAGCGGTACCCAATTTAAAGGTGTACCCCCTGTTTTTGGGGTACATCCAGAACTGTGGTAAAATAGTGCACGTTTTAATTAAGTTAACTGTTTATCAGAGGGGAGGGAGGTATGGGCTGTAACCTATACCTGATTGGTGATTTAATGCCTCCCCCTGGGTGTGTACTTCTTGTCTGTAACCTTAATAAAAAGCAGGCTGGAGATTCCAGACCTCAGATCTACTTGTATCCTGATTCTGGACTCTGACTGTTATTTGGGAATTCGTATGCTTTACCAAGGGGATTATCTTGGGAAGCTGTTATATTTCTTATGGACTTCATTGCTTAGAACTACCTTAGACACTGACATTGCAGGAGGAATTATCAAAGCGGTTCAGCTATACTTGATTTCCTTACAACTGGTGGCAGCGGTGGGATTCGAATCCCAAATGGACATTTCAAAACAAGCAAAGGAATGAATGGCTCAGCAGTACCAGCTACTTAAAAGAACCACGCTAAAGGACTTACTGGAAGCTCGAGGCAGAGTGGCAAGTAACAAAACAAAAGCCACGTAATTGCGGAGCTAATGCAGAGCGATAATACCAGTAATATAGAGATGGATCAAGAGGAAGAAACCGTGATGCAAAAGGACATCCGATGGACACTCAGTTTATTGGGACCCAATCCATCCTCAGAGGCAATACTGCAGGTCGTAGCACAAGCCAGACAAGCGCAAAAAGAGCGAGATGACCGGGACAGATCGTCACAGGGGGATTTGCTACACTCCCCGAGAAGTATTGGGGAAATACCAAAGAAGGTAAATTATGCAGCGTTTAAATCATTTGTTGACAATGAAATGGAAATTGACAGTTACTTGCAAGACTTTGAACGTCAGTGTGCACTGGAGGGATTAGACTCCACCAAATGGGCTGCAGTCTTCAGCAGTAAATTGTCAGGTAGAGCAGCCGAGGCGCTGCGAGCAGTACCTGAGGGGGACATACATAATTATGAGAAAATAAAAGACATTTTGTTGGCCAGATATGCGGTAACTCCGGAGGCATACCGGAAAAAGTTTAGAGACCTGAGAAAGACTGGGAGAGATTCCCATACGGAATGGGCTTTTCGCCTGCAGCGGGCAGCCCGCAATTGGATGAAGGGCTGCCAGGCAACCACCCTAGAAGAAGCTTTGCAACTAGTGATACTGGAGCAATTTTTTAATCATACTGCAGAGGACATAAAAGACTGGGTAAAAGATAGGAAACCAAAAACCGTGGAGGAGGCCGCTAGGCTAGCGGACGAGTACCAGGATAACAGGAGGAAGGAGCAAGGGGCGAGCAGACCACCATTTAAGCCTCAGTACACAGCTCCAACAAACCCGACTCCACCTAGACCTGCCATAGGTAACCCCCCACCGAACCCAGCAAACACACCTCGACCTCCTGCAGTGTGTCACTACTGCAAGCAACCAGGACATTACAAGTATCAGTGCCCTCGCTTAAACCGGGGAAGCTGGGAACGGCCAGCCCCACAACAACCCAGGGCAGCTGCTCACTGTGTGCAACAGGAACACACAGGCCCTGCCCTTAACCACGAAGAACAGTGGAGTGTATTACATGAGGTCAATCCAGTACAAGCTGGGGGGGACAACCAGGACCACCACCGCCAATGGATTACCGTCGATGGCGTGGGGGCCCGGGCGCTGAGAGACTCTGGGGCTACTTTGACTGTGGTACAGCCCCACACGGTCAGAGCACAAGCTCGCACCGGA